CCCCGCCTCTCGCCCTATGACAGCTGGGATAGGCTCCAGCGCCCCCCGCGACCGTGAAAAGGATAAGCGGAAGCGAATGGATGGATGGATTTTTGGTCCAGACGCCCCACTATGATTTCACCGTACCAGGGCATCATTGTGGGCCATCGAACTGCCGTGGCCATCCGACTGCCGTGCTGAAAGACTATTTCAAGTAAAATTCAACAACTTTATAACACTGAAAAGCAAGGAAAATTAGATGTATTACACACAACCCTACTAAAATGGAGGAACTACACCTGGAGCAAACAAGACTAGGGCAACAGAAAGAGCAAGTCATACAGAATGTTTCCACACGGTCGAATTTAACGTTGGACACGGTTTCTCTTCTACTAAAGAATCAAGAGGCTGTTTTTTCTGCTTTAGACAAACGAAAGCACTAGCTAATGATTTTAACTCCATCAGCTGGCAAATGTCCTTGGGCCATGAAGGTAAAATAAAAATAATTTTTCAATTATTGTTACTCTTTCTTCAAAAAAGTCTATAGTTGACAGTATCAAATTTGGGTCTTTTTTAAATTCTTTTACCTACAGAGAAAGACCCGACTCAGTGTGGTCAAGTTTAAAAAATCATCTTTATTCTACATTTGTGGAAAAGGAGAGCTACGAACGCTAGCAAGCACCCACAGGTCTAAAAGCATTACAAGCCAAATGCGTATATATAGTTGTCAAAGGGAAATTGTTTTTATATAATGTGATCAGCTTCATAAAATGTATTCTTTTATTTTCAACTAAGCAAATATCTATGTGACTTTTGACATGAACTCTTCTGTGATAAACAACTTACAGCTACCTCTTTCTGTAAGAACATGCAGATTTAGAAAAAGGGGAACCTCAGCTCAGAGTTCTTAGAATAAGAACGCGGACAGTGATGAGACGCAGGTCGTGCGTCCATGACTGCCCTCGCGAGTGAAAGACAACTGCAGTGTTTGTGTTTTCTAACTCAGGTGTCTTAGCGGAAGAACTACGGGGTGATTTAAAGAAATCCCCTGTCATTTAAATTCGTCCTTCGAGTTTAGCGATGGAAACAACAGACACGTTTCTGTGAATCCAAATCCAAGGTCTGACTGCTGTATCCTGACGTCGTGGGAAGCCAGCACCAAAGTCTGTCGACAGCCCTCTCCAGGTAGAGGTGAAAGACCTGGGACGTTAATTCGGATCCAGGCCGGTGACCTATTTCTGGTCCACGACGTTGGGATCCAGCCAGATGACATGAACAACCAGCAAAAGACGACTGAGGGTGAGAAAACACTGTTTGGTCTTAAACCGCCGGAAGGGTTTAGTGAAATGCGCAAAATAGGTTGGAAGTAGCCGCAATTACTTCGTGAAATGCGCAAAATAGGTTGGAAGTAGCCGCAATTACTTCGTGAAACACGTGAAATAGGTTGAGTTCGCCGAAAGGAACTAAGTTTAGGCTGCGTTTAGAGGTAGCCGCAATTACTTCGTGATAAATTATGTTTAGACTGGTTTCAGAAGTAGCCGAAAGTACTTCATGACAAATTAGCACGCAAATGTCTATCTGTGTGTACGCTGCTGAACTACTTCCATCTTTGTGTTTCTGCAAAAGCCCAAGTACTGGTGACAAAGGGGAAAGGTTGAGTTTCGCCTCATAAAACTGACACCGCTCCGTGAATAGCGCGGAGTAAAAGGGCGTGTCAGCCACCACCCCCGAGTCTAGTATCAGAGAAGGCTCTGCAGTTCTGTGATAATGGGGAATCAGCTCACAAAATTAACTACTGACGAGCAGTGGCTAGAAAAGCAAAGTCCAGGCACCGGACAAATCAGTGCTAATAGATTGAGAAATCCTAAGAAAATAAAAAGTAGTCCTTCAGCGTTAACACATCTGAAGGAGGCTCTTTAAAAGAAGCAGTTAGGCAAGACAAAAACAAAAAGAATAAACAAGAGCAGAAAAAAAAATAAACAACCAGAAAAAACTGAACTTAACTACCAGTTTAGTAAAACCAGAAGACAGTAGAAGAGATACTGTGCAGTCCTCGCGATCCTTTTATCAATCCACCACCTGTTCCTGCAGCCGCAGCACCACCCATTATACACTCACCCATATCAGGAAGAACATAATAATCCCTCATCAAGTGAAAACTAGAGATCAAAGTAGTTTAAAGTAGTTTAAAAAGGGTTGGAAATAGACCCGACTGAATAGATATAAATACAAGAAGTACAAAATAAAACAAACAAAAGGCTAAATTACATTAGAACTTATCTTTAATGTATTCAAACTAATAATAGGAAGGATAACAACCTGTAAACTGGTATTAACAATGAAACATAGTTGGGATGACGACCATGCCCAGAATGAATATAATGAATGAAAGCTGATAATTCACACGAAAATATTTTTTAAAAAATAGAGAGATGCATAAGGTATATTAAGGCTGTGTCATTGTTCAGCCAGGGAAAGGAAAATGTCTACAGCTTGGGAAAGGGTGAAACTGCAGATAACCCGCAGCCCTTGATGGATACCAAATAAAATATAAATAACAAACTATTGTATATTAGTAGTATAGTGGAATACACTAATAAAATATTGTAATATACTATTGCTGTTATGTTAAAAAAAGAGAAGATAATAACATTAATAATGACATAATATTAATATGAAGAGGCACCTCAGTCAGTTATGATGTGAGGTGGATAATTGTTAAAAGTAGTCTGATTCAAGCTTAAGGTTTGCTCAAACTCAGTATAATGACATATGAGATGAAGAAAACGAAGAAAATATCTAAACTAATTAAGTGCATAGAGGCAGTTGACCTGCTTGAAAACCTGTCATCCTAGATGAGACTTTGCTGAGATATAGAGCACACCTATACTAACAACTAATAAGCTAAACCCTGTAGACAACAGCTAAAGCTACAGGATTGAGAAGTTGAATTAAATATGTGGACACTACCAAGCTAATGAGCAAGTTACACATTTTTTATTTTTTATTTTTTAGAGCAGAAGCTGCATGATATTAAAGGCTCACACATGCAGCTGTCTGTGAGCTCAGTTTTTTTCCCTCACACTTCTGCTTTGTTTCTGGCAGCATTTTTTCTTTTTCTTTTTGTGTCC